CTACACCAAAGATGATCTGGCCTGTCTTCTTCCCGGAGGCCCAGTGATGTGTTCCTCTGTCAGCTTGCGAGGAAGCCACAGCTTCTGTCCCCCGAAGTCAACCTTCTCTCTTTCTCCTGGGACTTCTCAGCATTCACAGAAGCTGCTTGCAGCGTGGCCAGGATGTGTGGGGCGTCGGGGCCCAGTGTTTAGCGGAGCGGGCACAGCTGCCCACGGAGAGCAGGCTGTCAGCACGTCTCTGTGCGCTGGTGTTAGGGGGAGGCTGGCAGAAGACCCTTCCTCCCCCTCCCTTTGGCCAAGAAAAGACTTCCATGGATGTGTACGTGTCGATCCCGAGTCATCTGAAGGGGAGATGGGGAGGCGGGCCAGGGGAGAAGGGCCACTGTGGCCCCTACAAGACAAGACACCGGTGCTGGTTTTGGTAAATCGGGAGCCAGGCATAAGGGAGGATGTCTGTCCCGCAGGCCCTCGCATGCTCCTTGGACGACCTGGAAGGGGCGTCCTCACTGCACACCCTGCCCCGCCCTCTGGGGGTGGGGGTGGGTAGGGTCCATGAGAGGGAGCGAACCTTCCTCTTCTGTATATAGAGTGAGCCACTTGTGCTCAGGAAAACCTAGTCGCTTGTTGCTGCTCTTGTGACATTTTTGTACACTGGTTTTCTAGTCGTGGCACGAAACAAACACAACAGGAAAAGTCATTTCAAGCTGAGCTGTTGTTTTGGAAACCTGCTTTCTTTCAGTGTCAGTGTTGTATTGTATTTGGAGGAATTCTTCATTTCTATTGGTGTTACTGTGGTAGAGAGAATAAGATAGTCCGACTTGTAATGCTTTCTGCCGGGAAATTGGCAGTGCCTCTGTCGTCGCCCTGACCCCGGTCCTTCCTCATTCCCAGGGTGGGATTGCTATGCGCTGGGCACACTCCTCCCTGGCCCCTGCCCCCGCAGCGGCTCCCTTTAGAACCGGTCTTTGTGATCCCCCTAAACAGCTGCAGGATGAGTATTTTTGCCAAGCTGGTTCTTGGGTGCTCTGAGCCCCTACCAGTTTGCTTGCCTCTTGGGGCATTTTGTAATGTTTTCTCTGTTTTGTAAAACCTTTTGACTGTACCACAGTGGTTTCTGCAGTCACCTTTGGAAATAAATGGTCATTAATTTGTGTACTTAGCACTCTGAAATTTAGTCTGAGGTGTTTCTGTTGTTGAGGATCCTTGAATGAAAAGGAACCCTCACCATGGGACTCACTGTTAAATGTTTCCTTCATTTACTGCTATTAAAAGGTTTATGAGAACCCAGGAGTCTTGGCCTTGCTTCCCAGAACCCTCTCAGAAGGGCTTCTGCTTTGAAAAGTAGACAGAAAAGGGGCCGATGGTTGTCCAGGCCGTGGAGGACCACCGAGGGGCAGCTGGCGCACTCAGCACAGCTCTGCCCTGGGAGTCGCGTGGCCGGGCGTGCGGCCTCGAATCCCCCCACGCTGCTGCCTGCTTCCACCAGTGCTGCCAGGGACCGAGCAGGCCTTGTGCTCTTAGCAGGGCTTGTCTGCTGGGGGCATCTCCTGGGCTCGCGGGGCCCCATGTGTGCTGGGCCAGGCTGGAGGACTGAGCTAGAGGTGGCAGCTCTAAAACCAGACGTGATCAGGCTCCCTCGTCCCGGGTTTCCCGAGGGCGGGCTCTGTTCAGCAGAGGTGCGAGGCTGATACAGGTCGGACCGTCCCGTGTGGAGGTAAACCTGCCCCTGGGGAACAGTCGGACCCGGCTGTCCAGGGCTCCCCACTGAGCAGCCCGCAGTGACTGTGATCAGCCCAGCCCGCCTTTACACCAGACGGAGGCCCTACTCAGACTTCTGCCGCTGTGGCTGCTTCTAGACG